GTTGTGAAGAGTCGTTTTTTCGTGTTCGCAGTCAATACACTGGGTTCTCTTTGTGTAATCGGCATGCAATTTTATACGCCGTCTGCGGGCATGCCCGTGTTGATGCACGAATGTGTATTTTTGCCGTTGCTGCTTTCGCGGTCAATGTAATATTGCAGATGCACCCCTATAGTTATGAAGCAAATTGGAATGGTCCAGAAAAACCCGTTGTTTGGATTAGCAGTGGGGGGTGGAACTTCAGGCAGATGGTGAGGGGCCGATAAGTGGTACCACGGCAGTAACACTCGCGGTGCTGGCCGCAACTGTTGCTGGAATTTGCCAGTCGCGTTTAATAAGTAACAGGCACGGTAAGACGGTGGGGCTGTCTTTGTTACTAGTGACACGACCATGATAGTCCAATCTTTATGTGAATGCAATGATTGTGTGTGTGTAATTAAAATGAAGCACAGTATCTTTACACGCCCTGAGAGCAGTAATGGATTTAGTCTTTTTATGGTTGTGACGCGCCCTCATTGTATTAACCGTTGCCTTATGTCTGCACAGTAGGTCTGGCGTTGACGCTTGGGATTATTTTTGTTGCAAAATATAAAACTTCACGGAGGATTGTCACCTATGCCTTCTTGTTTCTCTTTTTCGACGATTGTTAAACTGAAAATCCAATTCTTCCCATATAATAGTATCAACGATAAGATCACAAAGTCACAAAATATAGCCGAATATAACCGAAACGTCCGCAATTTGACTAAAAGGACGCTTGTGGCGAAGCAAGTCTTAGATTTTCACTAAAGTTATTCAATAAAACGGCCGTTTGACAGGTCTTAGCTAAGCAATAATTTAATAAAAAGGAGGACCAATCAAATCAGCGGATTTCGTCTGATAACGAGGCTAAAATATGCATACATTAAGTCCAGGTGCCGCATTACGTCATGCGAGGTAGTTACGTAATCCTCCAGGCGAACCAAGCAGATATGCTGGGTTAAATATAGGCAGGAATGGGTGTAAACCTTAGCCTTTAAAATAAAAATAACGCAAACAATTACAGAACTAGTTGTTGCAATGGCTTTTATATGGTGCATTCTTCACGTCCAGGTAATTTCTGGACGCTTAAAACTGATAATAAGAACAAAATCAAGGAAAATATGTGCAGTACCGAAAAATGAAACAGACATCAATAAAGCGCTTTAACTCCAATTTTTCACTCCAGTTTTTCCACCCAAGTCTTTTTAGAAGTATAATAACTCATACCTGATGTGTCCAGAAGAATCTTTTCATCCCTGGCGAACGTGCACCGTTCTCGTCAAAGTTTACTCCCTCATGCTTTAATTTAATACGTTAGCCACAGGTAAATGTGACCCTGCAGTTTAGAGACAAATCGCCAGAGGCCACTGCTACACGGTTAATTATGCTGCGGGATAGTGTCAATACGTTTCACCGACGTCAGGGCGCTTTGCGGTGAATGGGACGCATATTTTCAACTCTATCCCTAATCATAACTTTAATTCTAACCATAGCGATAACCAAAACAACGTCTAAAAACATGGGACGGCGAAACATAACAGGAAATGTTACTGTGAGTGACATAATTTAGTATTTTGTACAAGGATTCATCACAAAGGCCAGTGTGCAACTGCAGTTACGCCATAGTTACGTTAGTCACAGGTAAATGTGACCCTGCAGTTTCGAGACAAATCGCCAGAGGCCACTGCTACACGGTCCATCGAGCAGGTTTCGTCCTGACGTTTCGCCGACGTCAGGACGTTTTGCAGTCAAGGGCACGACTATTCCATACTATAACACTAATTAAGTCCAACAATAGCGATAATCATAATAACAAAATTTCAGCTAAAAACATGGGACGGCAAACCATAACAGGAAACCGCAACTTCGGCGGCGTTTTCGGGAATGTTATGTTTCGCCGTCCCATGTTTTTAGCCGTTGTTTTGGTTATCGCTATGGTTAGAATTGAAGTTATGATTAGGGTTAGAGCTGGAAATATGCGTCCCATTCACTGCAAAGCGCCCCGACGTCGGTGAAACGTATTCACACTATCCGGCAGATGACCGTGTAGCAGCGACCTCTGACGATTTGTGCGAAGTGCAACAACAGTCTACTGTGTGCGAGTCGTGTGCCGAACTCTCTTGATTGAAAACGTAGGCACAGGCAAGGGACACGTTTCACTTTTTCGTTCGTTTAATCATTAATTCGTTTCTTTCATCAGTTTACTGCATTCACAATACAGGAATTCGTGAAAACAGAGCCTTAGTTCAAAGTCTGCATAACTTTTAACATATAATGAAGTGAAAAAATACAGCCTAGTCGTTGCAATCTAGCTCAATTTATTTTTATTCATACTTAAAATGTTGGCGAATCCAAAGAAAGAGTAGTTTTCATAGAAGTAAAAACAGAAGATACACGAAAGCAGTTGCTACATTATTGTATGTGGAAGACAAAACAAATCAAGTCGCAGTGTTTCTCTGTACAGGTTGACACACAAACACAAAATTACTCATTCAAATGATGGCAACACTTGATTCATTAAAAACCTTGAAGGCACTTGCCTGAACCTGCATAAAAGTTAGTCTTGTCACCAGCAAAAAAAAAATCATTCTTATGCAGACCACTACATGTTGTTGACTACATTTTACATTATATTGAAAAACATGTAAAATAGCTAATTCTGCATATCCCTAATTTGGAGTTTTAAAACAGTAATTATTACCATGTTTGTCTCATTGCATAGTTGGTTGCTTGATTTGGAGGATTCGAACCATAATGTACCATATCATTTATTAATTTTACTAATATACAAAGAGTGTAAATATTATTAAGGCCACACCAATTCAATTTGTTGGTTCTCGGATTCGCATCTTCATTTTTTTCTGATTTGCAAAAAAAAAAAAATTCTGGTTCTGAATCAACTAAAAATGGTCATATTTTGCCCCCAACAGTTGAGGAAAGTCGTTTCTTCCTACTTGTGAGTTTTTCCATCTATCAATCCATTGTTTAAATATTAACCCAACCTTTTGTGTTGACTTCCTGGCTCCTATAATTGTAGCATTTGGGGCTATAATAGGATGCCTAGACCTGTTTTTATTTTTTCGCCCTGTCGCTTCATATTTTTCATAAAAAAATCCGAGAACCAACAAATTAAATTGGTGTGGCCTAAATGGACAACAACCAGGTAGTAGACTGGCTAACTGGTTGATAATTTAAACACCTTGAAGTTGACAACTCTTGTCCTTCTGAATTTGCAACTTGAAACTAGGAAATACACAGTTAATAAGTTTATATAAATTTGTACTGGCCATAGTCATGATAGTGCCACCATGACTTTTTTGACAAGTTTAGGCCACACCAATTTAATTTGTTGGTTCTCGGATTCGCCTCTTC